GAGAAAACAACGCTGCAGATGCCAGGACCTGACTTGTTCGTGACCCAACTTGATATCCCAGGATGAGGTCACTTAGGTCTGTACAAGGCCACTTAGAGACTCCAATTCGAGGTCACTTTGAAGGTCCTGGTGCTTGAAGTGGTTGAAATGGATCTGGCCCTTTTGGAACTGGTTTCGCAGGTGTTAGCCGAGGAAGACCAGTGCCGGTACCACATCCAGCCGTTTTTGGAGTGCACGGCCGACCGGTTTCCTGTGCTGGATGGACAAGCTGTCCTTCTTTCTTTCACATGTTCCATTGTTCATCCTCTACTGAAGGATGATGGTGTGCTTGGTCAGGCTAAGCGAGATGGAAGATGAGGTCCATGAACCAGAGTCAAGGCTCAGCATGCCTCCCCAGCTAAGGCTCCAGTGCTGGGCGACACCCGATTTAGAGCTAAGTCGCACGGTGAGTTGAGGATTGAGTAGAACTGAGTAGAACCGAGAAGAAGAACTGATTGTGTTCTTAATCGAATGCGATGTTGCCTCACATCCCTCAGTACTGTAGTTTTGTGGACAGCTGTGTTGCACGGGACATGTTCACTGCAAACATGCAGGGCAAGAAAAAGCAGGGGGATAGAAGGCAATGATGTCAACTAAGATTCTTTACATACAAAGGTGTGTTGGGGAGACATGTGTTTTTGGGTGTTTGTACGGTGATTTGGATTTCTTTAATCTAGTTTGAAATCACTTTAGCTTCGTCCTACTGTGGCTTCCGTGTCTTTTGGCGTCTACTGACGTTAGCTTGTGTGTGGCTTCTGTCAATGTACTTTGAGTGGCTTTTGGTGGCTTTGGGCTTTGCGGTTGATTTGGTGGTACCCATGGACTTTGGATTTTGATGGCTAGGTGTTGGTCGCTTCTTCTGTTGGTATCGACTTGCTGTTATATCTTGCCGTTTGAAGTCCAACAAATATATTTGGACCGACGGAAGTGAAGGAAAATCCTTTTTGGGTCACCTAAAGACCATGATGTATAGTCTTTGGCTCCGGCTTTGTTTGGCGGGATGTCAATGTCCTTCCAAAACACATATGCCAATACCATTGCGGCTTGGTGACCATGCACCCATTCCTCAACAAGTCTTGGAACACTGAAAGTGGAGAGCTTGAAAGCAGCGTCTTTGGTGACTCAGGGGGGGGGTGAGGTGCTGGTACACATTGGGTGCCAAAAATAGGTCGCATGAAGGCTATAGGGTCGAAGTGACACTATCCATCACTATCCCATTTGGCAAAAGGCTTTTCAACTAAGCAACACAAGAGTGGATACGGGGTCCCTAAGCCTTGGCGCAGTTGCCCACATCGGAAGTGTGGATGGTCCAAGGGACCAGGCCATTCCACTTCCATTTGAGTCAGAGTGTTTTGGTACCCCCAGGCAACTTAAACAAGAAGTCCCTATATAAAAGCTGTTGTCCGTTCTAGGATTTAAGCCGCACGAGACCCTGCGGCTTCGACCAAGGTCCAAGGCGCAAGAGAAGAAGCACACTCGGCTCGTTGCAGACCTCACGAGCCGACACGGACGCTTCAGTTGCCGCATGCTGTGGCAACAGTGTAGCAACAGTGTCATACTTGTCACCCTAAGAATCCGAGTCCGGGCTCTCCATGGCAGGGGTCGGACCTTCTCCACCGAAACGCAGGGGGAAAAGGGCCCGGTTCCCAAACCCGATTGTGTTTGAGGGTCCGGATTCTTAGGGCAGAAGGGAGATGCCTTCCAAAAGAACCGTTTCGGGGGCGGCACTCGAAATGCCATGGCGCTGGCGAGGACAAGGGGCTCCAACAGTGTTTTGTCGGCTTGACATCAACCTGAAAAGCTAGGGCTGGAGATAGGAGTCTGGGCTTCGAGTCTTTAAAGCCCGCTGATTTCGAGTTTGGATCCTCCTCAGTTCCAATTTGCTTAGACCAAACGCCGGAAACACCGACGGCCGCGCACGGGGCGCCACGGCCGCGTGGGGTGCCAGGCCGCTCACGCAGGCGGTGTCGAAACCCGCCCGAGTCGCGTCAAAGGTGACAGGGGCGAAGACGAAGCAAGTCTTCGAGCTGCTGGGGATGTGTTGCTTTTTGCTCTTGGCATGTGAAAGAAAATAGGACAAAATGAACATGCGAAGCAAATGACATGCCAAGTGGTTGTTGTCCAATTGTGGTTTATTTGGATTGTTGATGTTTTCTTGACAAAGGTTGTGTTGCTGAGCAGTTGTTCCAGCGAAACGAATTGGAATCAATCGGTCAAGGAGTTGTGAGGGAAAAAGTCGGGGCCCGGGAGAATGCTCGGCGTCACCGGCACCCTGAATCCAGGATGTTCGGCGAAAGGAAGCAATCCCAGACCATCCCATGCACCTGAGCCCTCACTGCCAGGTCCCCACCTGCAACTTTTAAGTCTGCAAAAGCCACCAGAACTGCTGGTATGTGCTGGTATATGGAATCTTTACCCTACATTGACCCTTTAAAATCCTTTAAATACATCTTCCCTATAGAAGTCGAACCACCATTACTTTAATAGCCAGGTCACCCCGAACAACCATTGTTTCACTAAGGGTTTTACACTACAAAACCAGATCAACCATGTTAAAAATGGTCGACTTGACTTCCAGGGTCTTCAAATCACCCCAGGGCTTGGCCAAAATTCCGGTCCGGATGGATGGGCGAGGAGACCTAGATGCCGCCCTACCCTCTGACTCGCGAGTCCATGGGTAGACGTGGCATGGTGAAGGCGGAAGACTTTCCTTGACCAGGGGTGCCATCCACTTCCACGCGATGTGATTCGTCGTGTCAATCTGCAAGCTGAGCCCGCCTCCTCGGGCGCAGCTCGCCTCGCCTCGCCTCCGGGCGGTTGACGCGACGCGGGCGCAGCTCGCGCCGCGTCACAGGCAGCTCGACAGACTTCCAAGCCATCAGGTCACTTGGCGGTTTTGAGACCAAAAGCGATGAAGACCTGTGCACATGTGAGATGTCCCAGTTTGGGACGCCGAGACTTGGATGGAGATGTGATATCCAACAATCCAACAGAGGTTGAAGAACCCTATAGAAGACAAAATATGATACCCCACTGGGGTCCTGTAAGGTCACTTAACCTTTGTTGGATGGAATTGGAGATAGTGGGTCACCCCTGCAACAGATCGAGAACGAGAAGCATAGAGAAGCCATCCCTCCCTTTGACCATGCATGCGAGAGGGGGGTTGTGTGAAAGTATGCAATTTCTTGGTGGGATTCTACGAAGATTTTGCATGATCCTGAGAGCCCTCAAATTTGATTTCTTCTACCTCCACCCGCAATTTCTGGACCCCTCTTCCGATTCCCTGCACATCCCCATGTGCGTTCTGGAAAACGAAATCATGCCAGCTGCCCTTTTCCCGCGGTCCCAGCTGTGGGACACCTGCCGCCGCCACGGGGCGAGGCGAAATCGGCCCCCGCCACCTCCGCCACCGGCGGGGACAGCGACCGGTGCCTCCCAACAACCGCTCCATGGCCGCTCGAGGCACTTCTTCAGCGGTGGAGCGGCAGGCGCTGCGGGCCGGAGCAAAGGCCCGGAGACCCCAGTGGAAGTCGAAGGCGATCGAGTGGATGAGTTGTTGGAAGAGACCCGAAAAAGTCCTTTTTGGTTTAGAGGGGATTTCTACCCTTTTTTCCAGGGGACTGAAGTAGTCAGACTTTAGACGCATTCGTCCGGTGACCCTTTAGGTGGCCCGAGTTGATCAGGAGTTACCTAAATTCTTCGGCACCCCTTTGGTTGTCGGACGCTGGAGGGGAATCGAATCGGCTTGGAAGCTATATGAAATGATTGGATCGAAACGAAAAGGCCGGGGTGAGAAGAAGGTATATAGGCTGGTGGCACGGTTGTTTTCTGCCGACTACTTCAGGGAAGAAGAAGGACACCCAGACTTGGACAGTTCTTTTGGTAAAGATGGTGCGGTGCAGAACAACGCCCAAAAAGCATGTTCATTGCGGCCATACAGCACTATAGTTGTTCTATCGATTTGGGTGGTGTGCTCATGGATCGAAGGCTTCACCAAAAACGGAGGGTGGCTCTACACTCCCTGAAACAATCATGGAAGTGGAAACATCCTGTTTGTAGAGGAAAACAGGCCATTCTCCAACCATGTTGGTTGGAGGGAGGGTGGACTTCACTCCTTGGGTGATATCCTGATGTCAGCCCCGGGCTGTGGGCTGTGTCTAGAGACCCCTGTTTTCAGAAAAGTGTCTAGTCTAGGCATGGGAGACGATACTTTGCAGCTGCACGTTCCGACGGCCGGCATTCTATAGGGAGACACCTTGGCCCAACGGGTAGACTTGGCCTACCCTCCGAACCTTCCTGCATCGCTACGTTCGGAGCAAGACACTACGACGGGACGCCTTGGAGGTCTACCTCTTGAAATGCGTAGCTCACATCCAGGACAGGGAACCACGACTGTGGGTCAACCATCGCTCGTGTCGCAGCTCCCTCAGCTGTGCCTGCGTCAAGGCAAAGGACGTACACGACATGTCACCCAAATGCTAAAAGACCCCAGGTCAACCACCCCTATGATGTCGCTTTGCGGCTTGTGAAGCCGCCCGCAGCCCCGATACACCGCGGAAACCAGTGGCCCTTCGAAGCACAAAATAGATAGACTTCCGAAAACTAACTATGAACCCTGAGAATGGCATCCTTTTTCAGCATCCAAACCAGGGTCCTTGTTAGTCGCCGCGGCGGGAGAGTGCTCTGTTCCTGAGCAACCCAAACGTACGTACGACGTATCATGAGAGCTCTGAAAAGGTCTTCAAGTCACGTCCTTTTTGGTTTCCGGTCGATGGGTCCAACAGATGGGTCCTGCCAACCAGAGGTTTTTCATGACCCGAACTAGACTATCCCAGTTCGGTACCCCGGGTGACGGGTCCGAACGTTCAGGTCACTGGCTACCTCTCTGGATGTGAGACTCTTTGGAGTAGAGGAGTGGAGCTCCCCATGCTCCCTCCACATCCCGAAGACTCCGTTCACCCCGCGGTTTTTTGCTGTAGTCCGGTCGAACGCGCCCCCTGCTGGGTCCCGCGCCATGGACGCCTTCACCAGCGCTGCGGCACGGAGCTTTCGGGATCGGTGCCTGGGCGGGAGTGAGGAGGTTGAATGACCCGAACTAACTAGACTATCCCATATATAGGTACCCCAGTACAGTCCTAGTTCAGGTCACTGGCTACCTCTCTTGGGCGGGAGTGAGGTGAGCGGGCAGTTCGATGGGAAACGCGTGCAGGAAAGTGCTTTATAGTAAGCGTCCGATCGCGAACGGTGCGAGTCGCGATGCCAGGAGAGCGCCCCGGAACTTGTAGCGAACCCGATCGCTCCGGACCTCGCTCCGTGGTGTTGTTCTTGAATGAGCGGTTTGGACGTCTGGATTCGAGGGGTCCAGGGCAACGAAAAGCCACAGTGCTGCAGTGATCCTGTCAGAGGCATCCTGGAGGGTGAAACAAGTCGATGTGGAACCGGTGTCGGGTCGCAGCCCGAGTCTGTACGAAATCCGTTGGATGAACAGGAACATCGCCGTTCCGGTTTCCATCCCCTTAACAAGCACTGCTTTGCGGAGTTTAGACTACAACATACTACAACCATGAACCAGGCCAAGCATGAAGATGGTCTTGGAATGCCAGGGGCTATACTCATTGCGTCACCTGTTCTTACAAGTAGGTCTGAATTGAATTTGGTGAGTGCTAGGCTGGGGCACATCCCCCTAAACTGACACTCAATGGCTGGGACATGAATTTTGCTCCAGAACACCTTTGAATACTCTGGAATGTCCCATGGGTGTTTGATGCCTTCGCGAAACGAAGCGCAGCACGTGAGCAACCACCCAAAGCTCCACCTCTCCAAAGTCCGTTGGATTCGACCCCGCTCGAATGACGTCATCCGAGGATGACCTTCCATTGCGGTGCGACCATGGGCTTCACTTGTGCTGTGCCTGGGTTCACTTGTGCCTGTTTCAGGTCGAAACCCACCGAGAAACCCGGTTTGGACAAGTCGGTTACCAGCCGCACGACGTGAAGGGTGTGAGAATGGCGCGCTGTCAGTTCGTTTGGGCTTTGAGAGGTGTGTTCTCATGGGACGCCTCTTTCCCTGGAAGTCAAGTCGACCATGTTCAACATGGATCATGTGGTTTTTGTAGAACCCTTAGTAGCCCAATGGTTGTTCGGGGTGACCTGGCTATTAAGTATACATGGTGCCTTCGACATCTTGGGTTTTAAGTCTTCGCACTGCTGCGTGGTTCCCACCAAAAACGTGCGGAACACCGCTTCTGCCAGGGTTTCAGTTCCGGCGGAGTAAGACGTGACCTGCCTCGACCTGAGGTGTATTTGATGGGCATCTTGCGGCCCGTCCTGGAGCCCTTCTTCTGGGCCTTGTTTTTGGTCACTGCCCTGGAGCCGCTCTCCCGGCTGCTTCGAAGAACAGACCCCTTTGGGGCCCTGGGCCCGTGACGGCGTGACGAAGAGATCGGGTGTGGGTCTTCCAAGACGATTCCGGACGCCAGCTGGGTTGGAAAGGACCTTTGGTCGAAGGCTTTTTGGTTTGGGTTGCAGCCCAAGTTGGACTGTGATGTCGGGCATCCAAGATACGCTCAACAACACGCTTCTCAATGCATGAGTTTTTCATTAGGCATGTTGCTCCAATCTTCTGAAATGGAACAACAACAACAACAACAATCTGCTATTTATCAGAAGGACAGCAAACGACAGAGCAATATGATGCAATATGTATGAAACATGAAAAAGAAAAGGCCGGTCTTTCTTGAACGCACGCTTGTTCCTCTTCACATGCTGCTTCTTCGCTGAGGTTCTTCGAAGGTTTACTGTTGGGAGCACCTTGGCTCAGAACCATTCACCAGCATCCTCGAGTTGGGGAATGCAACATGTCGAGTTGGGGACCCGGACCCAAGAAAACCGGACTCAGAAACTACTGCGACCATAAGAAGTGTTTCTTTGTGATGGTGGGCGCTATGACATTATGGCACCTGTTTGTGTGGCTTTGAAGGGGACAATCTTGGAATATTGAGGGTCTTAGAGTCTTACCACGATTAAAGGGCAAATTGAAAGTGGCAATCCGGCCCGCCGCAAATGGGAGGTCACCCAGCCAAGTAGAAAACTGATCGACTCTCTGGGATGTCCATGCAACATTTCTGCAAAGTTCCACGCAGGTGGAGGCTACGGCTACTGCAGATGCAATGGAATATATCAGATATGTATGATGTTCTGTTTGTTTTGTTCTATTCTTGTGTGAATTTGTATGATATTGTATTTATTTACTTTTCAGATCTCAAAACAACAGAAACATCAGAACCTATAGGGCAAAACGAGAACGATCTGCGTGAAGGGCCCTTGAGACAGCTTAATGTAAGCACTGTGTGTTTTAATGCAGACTCTTGATTAATTAGAGCATCATAAACCCGCCATTTGAATTCAACAACCTCCTGACATGGGAGGGTTAATCATATACAGATCCTACATCATTTGCTCCTTACTCCTTTCGTTTTGCTCTATTCGGTCACGGTTCGCGCCGTGACCGTTCCAACTTCATCGGGTCCGCAGTGGGAGCGGATCGGATGGATTGAAAAACGGGGCGAATCCCGTGACAGCTTCCAAGTCCGGTGGTTTTGGGACACCCCGAAGAGGCGCGAGTTAGAGGCTAGACATTGGAAAATAGGCCTCGAAACACCGGAAGGTGGTAATCTGGTGATGCGTTTGGGACGGAATTCCTTGGCCACTTGTCCCTGCAGGTCCTGGTTTTTTTGCGTACCCCTCCGTACATACGTCACCGATCGCCACGATCCGAAAGCGGAGCGTGGGGCAGCGACGTCCGGTCCAGGCAGGAGAACTGCTCTGTGGCGCCTTCCGACGGCGACGAGGGAGGCGTGCGACCGTGCGTCGACCGCGTGCGACCGTGAAAGCGCCGGTTGGAAGGGGGGAAAACGAAGCGAACCTCGAGTCCGGACCTTCATGTATACTACCTCCTAAAGCTTATAGTGCACCTTTTGTTGTCCGCATGTTAGCCACTTGTTGTCTTTTGGCAAGGACACGAAAGGTTGTCCGGGACATGTTTGACCGTAATCCCTGAACTTGGTCTATTTCACAGCACTCAAATATATATCAATGGTGTTCAGGCTTTGGACATGAAAAACCGTTGAGGCTTTCAAAAGGACGTGAATTCGCAAGATGGACGTGAATGTTGCGTGAACTTGTAAAAAACTACTTTTTAGCATCCTGGACTGGAATTGGTATCTATCCGGGGTAGCAGGTAGTAAAGTGTAGGGCAGCCCATGTCAGTCCATGTCTTCCAGTCGGTCCCTCTTCCAAGGTCCAGGGTTTGCCCAAGCTTTCTTCCAGTCTGGCGCTTTCATCCAGCAGAATCCAGTCCCTGAAATCATGCTTTCGTGGAGTTCGCCACCTGTTTTTTTCGAGAAACATGGTTTGGTCCGGGGGCTACTTCAGCGTTCCCAGGCTGTGCTTTGGATAAAGAGAATGGGCACCGCGCCAATTTGGTTCACATGTATATAAGAGAAAGTCTTGGTCAACCCCGAAAAGAAACGCCACGCAACAACCAACGATCTGGTTCTTCACTGGAAAGTTCTGCTTCCGCCCAGCTGGGCCGCACCGGAGGGGAAAACCGTGTGATCTCCGATCCTGAAAGGGGGAAAACCCATCATGGCTCGTGGCACTCGCTTTCAGCGATAGGCTACCCACACAGTCCATGGGATTACCGTATATGCCGCCTACATTGACCCCCCTGGCACCACACCAACTGATCGGCCGGCGCAGATGGAGTGTCTGGGTTTTTCGGAAGCACCTGCCATCCGGACTTGGAAGATTCCACCCACCGCCGAACGCGGATTGAGACCCTTGGCCTCCTGTCCGTCACCGGCCGCACCGGCCCAGCCATTCTGGATCGATCGCACCGGCGGCACCGGCGCCATGGCGAGATCGGGCGCGGGGCGCTTTCAAGAGTCTCACGGACGCAGCGTTCGTGGCGCATCGCCGGCCATCGCCACGTGTGGCGCGGGGCCGTTGGTTCGCGTCGCGGCGTCGTGTGACCGCACGGCGGACCTCGGAAGCAGCGAACAGGCAAGGACTGCACCCGTTTGGGCTCCTGGCCCACCTCCTGAGGTTCGGTGGCTGGGGTGGGTTTTTGGGGTCTAACCACCGAACCTGAGGATATGGGCCAGGAGCCCTAGGGGCAGATCGGAGTTCGGAGGAAGACTCGGGTCACGAAGGTTTTAAGTCCCAGTCAAGGGAGAAACTCCGTTCATGCTTTGACCGTAGCACTGCTTCCTTGGAAGGCCAGCTGAATAGAAACGATTAAACTCCTCGTGGGGTATTAACGCCTGCTACCAGCACCCTCCAACAGGTCACCACCTGCGATTTTTAAGTCAGCAAAAGCCTCCAGAGGAGACCTGTTGGAGGGTGCTGGTAGTTGATCCAAGCATTTGAAGATCTGGAAGCAATCCGTCATAGTACTCCCAAGAAACTAGTCTGAACACATTGATATACAATGTCTGATCAGTTCCATTATGATGCATGCTGCATATGGTGGATTTGATGAGATTTGCTTGTGGGACCAGCCGTGTTCCGCACCATGAGCTTTCCGGGACGCGACACCTCTCCGCGAGTATGACGACCGGAGCGGTTGATGGTGCAAGCTAGCCGACCGGTGAAACTGGAGTGCCTCCCTATGGAACGACGATAGGAAGGTTTGACCATCTTTTTCGGATGCTTGGAATGTCCCAAAATAGAGGTTACTCACAAGAATACCCCGCGAAAACCATCCAAAACCAGGACTCTCATTAGACACCTCTGGTAGGTTTCCCTGTAGGTTATTCTTGGGAGACCTGCTTAGAGACCTGCTCCAGCCATCGTTTTCCTGCGACGACACCCACTGAGTCAGGTTGCTCTCTCAGGTTGCTGAGGACGAGCGGGGCCGGGCCACGTGTTCTGTTTGAAGAGGGGCGACCCGAGATCGACCCAAACCAACCTTAAAGTCGACCCTGAGACGGAGAGTATTTCGGAGTCGACCTGGGGCCCCAGTCATAGCAGTGAAACACGCCCCTTCTGATTGCCCATCGCAGACCCTGTCCGAACGCCTCCGGACTCCGAACAAAACCCCAATAATCGCAAGGCAAACATCTCGAAACCACCCCAAGCGCCCCAACTCTAAGCGGTTTTGCCAATTTGCAAGTCCCATGGATCTGGGTGCCACCAAGCCAAGCGCCCCGTGCCCGACTGACCGGACGGTCTAGCGGCGAAGAGCTGTGCATGTGGAAAAATAGACTCCAGACTCCAGACTCCATCCATGTACCAGGACCTTCCAAGTCCGGTGGTTTTGGGACACCCCTTGGACACCTCTCCAAGAGGCTGTTGATGGACACGTTTATAGACACCTCTTGGAAGCACCTTCTTAGACACCTCTTGGTAGAATCCAAACACTCCATGCATGGATTTGTTTACTTACCCTAAGAATCAAGGACCCTCAAAGGTGAAAGTTTTGAGGGTTCAAACCCCTGCGTTCTGCAGGGTCAAAACCCTCCAGAAGTGGTCGGGTCCAATGATCCTTAGGGTACATTGACGATGTAAATACGCCAGCCCTATGGAGCGCATGGCAACTGGAGCATGGAAAACACGTCAAACCAACCACCCTTTGAGCTTCGGCCTTTAGGAAGCCAAGACAACAGCGCACCTGGTTCCGAGAAATGCAAATCGACATGCCTGGGGAAACCCCCAGTCCCACCCAGAAATGAATGGACCCTAAGGATCCGCACCCTCAAAAACAAGGGTTTTGAGGGTACAAACATGTACAAACTCTTGTTATAGAGGGTTCGAGCCCTTCTAAGGAGGGTCCAAGGATCCTTAGGGGAGTTACAAACAACCACTGGTCAATGCAAAAGGATCTCAAGACTGCCAAATGTTTTACATCCATTGCTTTCGGGCCTGCATTTCCAGCACGTGGCACCTCCCAACCGCGGCATTCGGGACAACGCGTCCTGCCCTGTCGCGTGGCCGGTGCCCTCCAGGTCTGAGTGATCCGTCAGGGCCGTCAGGGTGAACCCGAACCTGAAGCCGCGAGTGTTGGCCTGAGGACTTGACTGGACCAAACCACATACCACGTGAAATCCCTTCAACAAAGAACATCATATAAATGATGGTCTGTTTGGGACTCCACATGTTGCCCTGAAGCCAATGCCACCTCCTGCCCACCAGGAGCACGCTTTGGAAACCGCTGAGCTCCGCGCCGAAATCGACCGCCTCCGGGCGCTGCTGGGCGGCGCCTTACCACCGCCCGCTGCGGTGCCGTCCCTGCGTGAGGCAGGCGTGAGGACCCCGGCGGCAGAGCCTCCAAAGGTGGCTTGGCCTGGCCGGGGCCACAGGGGTGGCCCCAGGAATGGGAAATCACCTCCTGGTCTGAAGGAATCCAATCTCTTCAGGACGTAGTCTTCACAGCGTGAAATGGGAGAAGCACGTCTCGTGTGACGAGCAACGCCCACGACATAGTTGTTCACGGCATCATCTTCACCCACACAAATGCAACAGCGCTCAGAGAGGGCTGGATTCCCATAGCACCTTGCAGCAGCATGTCCTCCCTCCCTTCAACTCACAGTTTCTCATAGACTAGACTAGTGACTAGACCAAAAAGAATAATCCTTCATCCTGTAGCTCTATACAGTTCGCCACGTCTGGCTTCTCTCTCTCTCTCTCTCTTTTTTTCATCGTAGTATACATCATGTGTTTCATCTCACTCTCATCTCAAAGCTCAAAATTCTCCTGTCCCCTCTGACCCCGCACGTCACGTTGCCCCTTCCGCATGATCTTCACCAGGTCCACCAGGGTGATCTTCACACCGACGGGTCGCTGGTGGAAGTGATGGTCCACGGCGCGGGCGGCTTCTCCGAGGCGTCGACGGTCCGCGGCGACCGGTCACGGGCCGGGCGACGGGGAACGTGTCGGCGCGGGGGCGGAGGGACGATGCATTGAGTGTTTCTTCTCCGGGGTGATCGTGCGCATAGTGTAAAACGCGTGTTCTGTTTTACCTCTGTATTCATTATTGCACTATAGAGCTATCTTAAATGCGTTTGTGTGTTTTTTCTGGGGGGAGGGAGGGTGGTGATCTTGGTGGTGTTGGGTGTGGGCCATTGGTGGGTGTTTGGTGCTTTTCGTTGGGGGAGGGGGAGTGAAAGAGTTTGGAGGTTTGAAGGTTTGGAGCTCAGTGGGTTCATGTGGATGATTTCTCAAGGCCTCTACTTCAGGATGAGAAGTGACAGAAGGGGAGCTTTGATGGCCTGGACTCTCAACTTCTTTTCCTCACAAACCAGCGGTGGGCTTGAACTCTATGTGTAGCTCGTGTTGCATGGAATAGCTTTGCACTTATAGAGAATCAGAAAGGAAGAACATATGAGGTTCTATGACAGGTCATTTCCTCCCGAACTACATCTCTTCATGTCTTCTGGTCACGGGATCCCTGTTCTTATCGTGGGCGGGGAACAACTTAATCCAGGAGCCGGAAGCTGGTGCAATTTTCAGAGTTCAGCTCAGGGCCGGGTGAGATGGTATAGAGCCGGCAAAGGCGCTCCTCCCATTCCCCTTCTCTCCCCCCGGAGAGGGACGCTTAGTTGGTGGAACAGCGCAGGCCTTGCTTCAGGCCACCGACAGCTCCGTCTGCCAGCTGTGCTTTTCGGTGGGCTTGGAGGAGAGGGACCGCCGTAGACTCAAAGGGTGAGGGGGGGAGACAGTCTTCGCAAGACAGTTGAAATGAAACCCAGTCCCAACCGGAAATAGCTCTGGCTGTTCCAATATGGCCATCTTGAAATCCTTGAGTTTTACCCGCTGAAGATTGGGCGCTTTTCCGGACTCCCAACGATCCATAG